AACTCACAGAGATCCTCCTGCCTCTGCCTCCCGAGTGCTGGAATTAAAGGCGTGCGCCACCACCGCCCAGCCACATTTTTATCCTTTAGCAAAGCCTGCACAAATCTCCCAAAAGGAAAGTCATTGATATTGAGAATCATTAAACATGAAAGTAAAAAGGTGCTGTAGAAGTGTGGTCTGCAAGGGTGAAATGCTGGAACTTCATCAAGCAGCAGTGGTTGCTATGTGGTTGGTCCAAGCCAGTGCCTGTGGAAGTGACGACATCAGATCACCTGGAATTGAAGTTACAAAGCCATGGTGTGGGTTCTGGAAACTGAACCCTGGTTTTCTGCAAGAGTAGCAAGTGCTCTTAACTGCTAACCCATCTCCCTATGTGCATTTTTAATATACGTATTTGATTGTAGATTATCTCTGGGCAAAGTTAAGGAAATGACATCTGAGATCTGAGAGACAGAAGTAGACAGGAATCTATTCTGCATACTTGAAACTTTTGAATATTGCACTATTTGATAATGTTCCACAGATAGAGACCTTTAGGAACATGCATGTAGGCAAACAAACTAGGAAAAACTCCATACCAAAAAAACTGAGTGTAATAGTAAAAGAGACTATGGATGGATTTTTTACAGTATTTAGGGTTCTGCTCAATGACTGGGGTGTTTAAGGGGAAGTAAGCATCAACAGTGAAAAGAATGTTAGCAATTCACTCAGGAGAATGAGAAACAAAGTGGTGCTGGGCACTCATGTTAAATAAATATTAAGGACTGGAAAAAAAGAAGGTTGCTAAATACTGCATGGCCTTAGGAAAACATTGTTTCTGATGGTCTTGCCATTTGCCCTGTATGCGTATTAGGTACATCACAGACCTATTATAGCGAGCGCCTCACTTTCTCGTCCGTCAACCTATGTTATAAAAAATTAAAAAAAAAACAAATTTAAAATAGAATGAAAATAAATGTTTTCCACGTACTTCTTAAACTTAGACCACCAATTCCTTTGTATATAAAAGGTATTTTTTTCCCCTTTTCAGCCCAAATGTCTGCATTTCCACTCTCCATCCAGAGCTTAGAGCTTTTGCACGTGTTTCGATTTCTGTAACTTTTCTGTGGCAGCTGAGTGCTCAGGGTAAAAGCACACCTTGCCCTAAATAATCCTTTACAGAGATCTGAGGTAGAAAGAATATTTGGAGCTAGAAAGAACTTCAAGAAAATGACAGCAGACGTCTGACATGTCAGCGACAGACCCAGGACTCAACACTTGAGATCTCCGTCCCTCTCAGTCTCATCCTCCTTTACTCCCATGAGGTGTCACGAATCTTCAGGTGCCACAACAACCTACACTCCTCCACCTTTACAACCTGGGCCGGGGCAGATGCTCTCGGTCGCCGCCTTTGGAGCCGCAGCACCGGAGCGTTCCCAGCGTCGCTCTGCGTCCCTTCTGATTGGTGAGCTGCTCTAACTTCTTCTCTCCGGGGGGGCGTGCCCAGCTCGGGGCTGGATCCGGCTCGCAGTGATGACGACATCGTTCGGCGACGGCGGCGGCCGCCGCAGAGGCCGTACGGCTGGGGAGGGCTTCCGGGCCGTGGGCCTGACTCCTCAGAGCTGCTGTCATGGCGGGTGCTCTGTGGGGCTGCTTTTCCATCCTGCTGCTGTTACTATCAGGAGATGCCCACGGCTCGGAGGTGCCTGGGGCTGCTGCCGAGGGCCCGGGGGGTGGTGGGGTCGGCCTGGGAGATCGTTTCAAGATCGAGGGACGTGCGGTTGTTCCAGGGGTGAAACCTCAGGACTGGATCTCCGCGGCCCGAGTGCTGGTCGACGGGGAAGAGCACGTCGGCTTCCTTAAGTGAGCATCCCGAGGGCAGCAGGAGAGCGGTTGGGTGGACGCTGCAAGGGTATCCAGCTAGGGCAGCACAGTGTCAGGACCGACAGTGTAGCTGTCACAGACTGAAGGCACCGGTGCCACTAACGGTCTTCGCTGGGAGACGTTTGAGAGGCAGGCAGATACTTCAGCAGCGAGGCTGGGGGACAGTGGTCCCAGGCCCGAAACACTGGGGTCATTCATTTGTATTCCCATTTGGTCCCCCGGTGTGGGCCTGTTTTGTCCCCTGTGCGGCGGATGACACTTGGACCCAGGGGACTGGTGGACCCTCGTTTGTTTGTTGGATATTTTGCCCCTTTGCGTCTTGTCTAGTTTCTCTGGAACCTAGTTGCTCTCTACACGTCAGTCTTCTGGTAGCTTGGTGTTGTGTAGAAAGATGCTAAACAAGTGGGAATTGTCAAAGCCCAAAGGACTCCCAGCGGTGACACAGACTGGAAGGTTGATGTTCCTGCTTCTAAAATTAGTGAGCCCAAAAGTCCCTAATCAAAGAGCTTTTTTTACTCCCCCCCCCCCTTGGCCCAAGATTGTGATTATTGTTCTTTTTACACTTGAATTTGTCGAGGGATTTGTAATATCGCAGTCGTCCTTTATGTTAGACTAGGGTTTCTCAAGATTCCTTACACATACGTTATCTTGTTCCTAGGAGAAACAGAATTGTTGTTTATATTGAAAGGTGCGGTGATTGTATTAGTGCTTTGGTTTGTCAGCAGTCTGTTTTCACCCTTTTAAGCATGAATATGATGTTTTAAATTTTGCCATCAGTATTTGGAGTTGAAACTATGATTGAAAGAAAAAAAAATTTTTTTTGCTGGTTTTGTATACCAACTCGTGATATCTGAAAACCGTACGTCTTAAGAGTGGACATTTAAATTTGAATTGAAGATTTCTGCAGATTGTTGAGGTTCCCTCATGGGAAATTCAACTTCAGATTAATAAATAACAACAAAATGGCAACCAATATTTTAATGTTATCTGGAACTGGGGTATTGCTTAAGAGTTTATCCTAATTAATGATGCATTAATAATGAAATCCCTCTGGGTGGTGATGGTGCACACCTTTAATCCCAGCATTCGGGAGGCACAGGCAGGCGTTTCTCTGTGCATTCCAGGACAGCCAAGGCTACATAAAGAAACCCTGTCTCAGGAAAAAAAAAAAAACAAAATAATAATAGTAATAATAAAATCCCATTAAGGTTTGGAAGATAAGGCTTAATTGAGAATTTAACTTCTGCAGTATATAGCACTTTTGAAAACTACTCATTTTTATTTTAAAATTAATATATTATATATTGTTATATATTATTCTTGCATAGTGACATATGCTTATTATCTCAGCTACTCATGAAGTAGAAGCAGAAGGATCATAAGTTAAGGACATTATGAGCAACTTAGTTGAGACCCTGTCTCAAAAAAAAAAGCTAGTGATACAGTTTTGTGGTGGCACTGAGGTCACTCCCAAGTATAAATAAATAAATGTTTATTGAGGAAAACAATATAACAATATAAACAAGATGTTTTCTTTTAAAATGTTGCAGCTGAAAGATAGCAACCCTTAATGTTTTATATGACTTGTCTTTAAGAGTAAAACACACAAAACTGTAATTCTCATTTCAGATTTATGAAAAATTTTTATACTACTTGGTTGTTTGTTTGTTTTTTTTTTTCTTTCAGTTTTTTGAGACATGGTTTCTCTGTGTAGCCCTGGCTGCCCTAAAATTTACTCTGTAGACCAGGCTGGCCTCAAACTCAGAGATCCGAATGCCTCTGCCTCCCAAGTGCTGGGATTAAAGGAGTGTACCACCACCACCTGGCTTCTACTTTATGTTCTTATATTCATATCGAAGGGTTGATTGGGGAGGTGGCTTGGGACTTTGCTAATGGAGACAAGAGGAGTTGGGGTCGAAGAGTACACAAGCCTTTTTTATTACTTTTTTATAAAATGTCGTAATGTGTATATAAACCACAACTCACTTATCCAATCTTCTAGCTTTGGACAATTAGGGAGTTGTCAGTTTTTTGTTTTTGTTTTGTTTTGATATCATAAGGTTGTATACTACTTAATTTTGATTGTTTTTAATGTGTAGTTTCACTGTGGTTCATACTACCTTAACACTCATGGCCTCCTGGGTTCACCACCTGATTCCAGGTGTCTGCTATCATGCCTAGCTTTGCTTTTTCTTTGGGTGATTCTGATACTGTTTGTGTCCAATAGTCATCACTTTTTTTTTCCCGTTGCTCAGAAAAAAATGTTTTGAAATTGATTCTGTCAGAATCCATCAAGAAGCAGACTGGATGTGATGCACACACTTAGGTTGTAGCTCTTGAAAGGGTGGGGCAGTAGCATTATGAATCTGAGGCCATCCTGAGTTGTATAGCAAGACTTTGTCTCCAAAACCAAAAGAGCAGAATATGCACTGAAATTAGAATAGTTTACGGAAGTTTAATCTAAGGATTAAAACAGTATAACCATCAAGGTATAGAGGAACAGTCAGTGTGAAGTACCTGGAGCTTACAGCCGCAACACTGTTTATCCAGTGATACGAGAAAGCAAAACAAGGAAACTGTTGCCACCTCTAAGCTGGAGGGGAGAGGAGGGGAAAGGCACCCGGAGACTTGGAAGTGTGCATGGGGTGAGGAGGCTTGTATGGATCCATGGTACCGAGCAGAGCCAGTTAGAGATGGCCTATCAGTGATAAAGCTGTGGGAAATACACTAAAGTAATTTTCTTCTCTTCCTGTAGACATGAAGAGAAAGGTAGAGAGTGGGTCTGGGGCATGTGAGGGGGATATGGATGTGACATCTGTCATCTCATTGATCAGGGTTGATTTGGCTAGACAAATGTCTCCTAACTCTAACCACACCACATGCATCCTTCCTGAAGTTGGTAGAACCACCAAAAAAACCTCTCAAGGTACATTTGAGAGTGGGTCCTAGGGGGTAAACAGGTGTCTAGCTGAAGAATAAGGCATTTTAATGCTTATATTTCAGTTCTGTTTTACCTTAGTATATTCTTTCAATGACAAGAAACACTTTTCATTTTAAATTTTTATGTCTTTTTTTCCTTGAAATAGCAGTTTTTCATTTCTAGACAGGTTAATTTTGACTTGCAAGAAGAAATTACCAGCTTTTGGTTGGATGATTTTTTTTTTAACCTAGTAGAATTAGAGGAAATACAGAAAGAAAAGATGGATGGCTTTAACTACTAAATTGTAGGTTTCTATATAACCAGCCAAAAGTAACTAAAGTAAATGGGGTTTATAATAAATGGAACAATTACTATTGAAATATGTTTGTATGGAAAAGAAGGTCAACAAAATACAAGTTAAAACTAGAATAGAACACTTTTTTTACTAATAAGAATGTATTGAAGGGCCGGGCAGTGGTGGCGCATGCCTTTAATCCCAGCACTTGGGAGGCAGAGCTAGGCGGATCTCTGTGAGTTCAAGGCCAGCCTGGGCTACCAAATGAGTTCCAGGAAAAGGCGCAAAGCTACACAGAGAAACCCTGTCTCGAAAAACCAAAAAAAAAAAAAATTTATTGAAGGAATTTAATAAAATTGGGACCCTTCTATTGTAATAATATACATTGATAATTTTTCTTCAGTGAAGACAGGGCTTCACAGTACGAGCTGCTCTTTGTCACTGTTATCTGTATCTGCTGCAGGAAGCTCTGTTACTCTGGCTTAGGCTCATCTATTTTCAGAACTGTTAAAATTCTGCAACATAAAATGTAAGACCAACTTTTGACATTTTTTTGTTTATTTTGGAAGAGGGCCAGAAACTATGTAGCCCAAGCTGGCCATGAATTTATTAGGTAGTTGAGGCTGGCTTCAAACTGGCAGTAATCCTCCTGCTTCAGTCACCTGAGTTTTATGATTACAGGAATAAGTCGTTATACCTGCATTTTCTGTTTTGGTTAGCTGCTTCTACTTGTTCATGTCTTTGTTTATGACAGGATTTCCCACTGTAGTTCAGGCTATCTTGAAACTTATTATATAGCCCAGGCTGGCCTCGAACCCATGGTGATCCTCCTGCTTAAGCCTCCTGGATACTGGAATCTGGTTTTCTTCTGATGTTTTTTGAGAACTATTTGGGAAATAGTGCTTTCAAACAGGGAAAGACTAAGGTACTGGTGAGAAGTAACTAAGTATGATTTTCCTTTTTCCAGGACAGATGGGAGCTTTGTGGTTCATGATATTCCCTCTGGCTCATATGTGGTGGAAGTTATTTCTCCAGCTTACAAGTTTGATCCTGTCCGAGTCGATATCACTTCAAAAGGAAAAATGAGGTGAGGATACATGATTTCTTTTTATTAAAATCTAGTCTACTTATTGTTATGCATTACTTTTGGAATTTACAGTGAAGATTGAGAGTTTCTTATTTAAACCACAGTTACTTCTTATAATGTTTAATCTACCTTTGTTGGAGCATTGAGACAATGAAGTTGAATTTTTTTGCCTCTGGATGAATGCTCCTAATATGATAAGCCTCTTCTATAATTGTATAGAGTAAAGGTAAGATTATTTACTGTAGGGGAAAAGTACTGTGGAAATCATAATTGAAATTTGACTTTTAAAATTGAGAATTATTTAATTTTTTTGAAATTGAAAATACTACTCCTGACTTTTCATTGAAATATTTTGATAAGCCCCTCTATTTACTACAACGTTGTTCTAGAAGTTTCTATAGCTTCTCCTTTATACACTACAAATTTCAGTAAAGCAATTGTCAGATGCAGTTGTGGTGTGTATGTGAAAATGAAAATCTTGATAAAATGGAAAGAAGGGCCCATGAGGTGGCACAGTGGGTAAAAGTACGTGCCAGGAAGCCTGTGACCAGAGTTTGATCTCTGGGACCCACATGATGGAAGGAGAGAACCAGCCCCTGCAAGTTGTCCTCTAACCTCCACAAGTACACCGTGGCACCTATGTGCCCAAATACACACAAACACACACTAAATAAGTAAGAAATGTGTAACCTGGGGTGTAAATTTATTATGTCTCACAAAAGCTAGGAGCTTCCAAGCTGAAGATTGAAGGTGATGCCTGGTTAGTATAACTGGAATAGTAGCACATATAAATGCTTAACTTCTGGAAGGTGATGCCTTGCTATGTGTTTAAATTCAGAGTAAATAAAGTCTACTTTTTTTACAGAATACCCAAGGAAACAGTGTATATTGAGCCAGCCCATGAAACAGACCTCTAGGAAGTTAAGATCATATGGATACTAGATATGGGCTACATAGTTTAAAAGTATATTTAAAGTGATTAAAGAAAAGAAAGACTTGATAGCTGTTCTAATTGTAAAAATTACTACACACAAATTTGTAACTTTGTCTTAATTAAAATGTTAGTCTTTATAGTATTAAAAAAAGAAATAGAATATTTCCTGTTAAGACAAATGG